GTCATGTTTAATCCCAGTGAGAGTCAAGTTGGGAATTGATAATTTCTTTTTTTTTTTTTTTTTACAGAGGATCAGTTTAGTATGCATTAAGTAAGGATTTCAACAGTTTGCACCCCCATAGAAACACAAAGTGAAATATATTGTTTGAGTACTTGTTATAGCATTAAATCTCAATGTACAGCACATTAAGGATAGAGATCCTACACGAGGAGTAAGTGCACAGTGACTCCTGTTGTTGACTTTACCAATTGACACTCCTGTCTATGGCATCAGTAATCTCCCTATGCTCCAGTCATGAGTTTCCAAGGCTATGGAAGCCCTCTGAGTTCTCCGACTCTTATCTTGTTTAGACAAGGTCATAGTCAAAGTGGAGGTTCTCTCCTCCCTTCAGAGAAAGGTACCTCCTTCTTTGATGACCTGTTCTTTCCACTGGGATCTCACTCGCAGAGATCTTTTGCCAGAGTGTCTTGGCTTTCCATGCCTGAAATACTCTCATGAGCTTTTCAGCCAGCTCCAAATGCCTTTAGGGCTGATTCTGAGGCCAGAGTGCTATTTAGGACATCTGCCATTCTATGAGTCTGCTGAGTATCTCACTTCCCATGTTGGATCACTCTCCCCTTTATTTACTCCATTGGTTAGCGTTAGCAGGTACTAGATTTGTCTATGTGCTCCCTTTGACTCCCAGTCCCTCCACCATGACCAACTGTGAACTGAAACTGATCACCTGGAACAGTGAGATGGCATTGGTACATGCCACCTCGATGGGATTGAATTGGAATCCCCTGGTATGCTTCCAACTCCACCACTTGGGGCAAGTCAGCCTGAGCATGTCCCAAATTATACATCTCTTCCCTCTCCCATTCCCACTCCCATGTTCAACAGGGATCACATTTCAGTTAATTTTCAACACTTAAGAATAACTGTGCATCAATTACAGAACTCACATTATTATTAAACATACTTCTTTTAGGGATAGCTTGGGAACTCTCTGTTCTTATGAATGGCCTTATCCCTAGGCAAAATCTTTGAGCCAGGGCTTGGGGTGCAGAGAAGTGTTAATAGCCACTGGGCATCTTGCTTACAGCTTCAGTCTTGGAACTTAGCCTTTTATGAGCTGGGGTGAGGCAATCAGGTCGAGGGCAACTGGGGCCTCAGTGTTTTCAGCCTGCTATGCTTGTGATAGAGCTTCTTTCCTGTGAGTAGGGCTGTGATACAGGAAGGGTGCCCTTGAACCCTTGGATGTACTCACCAGGAATTTCAGCTATGTTGGAGGTGCTTGTCCCTCTCATTGAGATATACTATCTTCGACTGGGAACTAGGGATAAAGGGAGTCCATCAAGGTGAGCAGTAGGATGTGTGGGGAAAAAGAGCAGTGGTTGTGGCTCGTATGCCATATAGTCTTTCACTGTTAGATTACTGAATCTTAAATTTTCTTGAATAAATCTTTTTTCATTTCCTGTGTGCCCTTAGAAGAATTTCTAGTTGTTTCCAGTTTTTTCTGTTTTAATATTTTTTTTGCCAGTTATGAATGTTTCATTAGGGAGCAGGTCAATGGGATTTTTTATGCCACGATTCTGAAAGTAGATCCCCCTCTTATGTCTATTTTTTCAGTAAGGTAGAATATATTTGTTATGATAGTGTTAAAAGAGTGGCTATATTAAACAATACTGTTGATCTATCTTTGCAATCAGGCTTTTAGTATGTCTTATTTATTTAGGTTTCTGGATACTTGGTTTTCCTTGACTGGCTTTTATTTCTCCATATAAATGAACCTTATAATAATGGTGTTTTACTTTTTAAAACTTACTTTGAATGGCATATTTTTTGCTTGTTACATTGATTTTTAGGTTTGACTCCAGTATCTACTGTTGCAACTACTATTTCAAACACCATGCTGTTCACTTCGATGTCAAATACTTCCACCTCCACTGTTGCTACTAAGCTCTCATGTAAGCCACTCATTTCAAAGAAAATACTATATTTTGCCATGAGACCACTTAACTGAATTTGCCAATATAAGCCATGGATCTTCTACATCTCATAAATTATTATGCTTGAACCCATCTGTAACTGCTGACATTAATAGTAGTTTTGCTTAAGAGCCTAATTGTCTTTAGCTGTGAATGTTTTTATTAACATTGTTATTATGGCTTAAAATGGTGACTTTAAGCATATAATTGATTAATGTTGTGTTGTTTTGAAACAATTTCTTCAAGGTATTATGAATAAGAAGGGTAGGATTTTTGCTAAGTATGTATAAGTGGAAGAAGTCCTTATTGTCCATGTGAATAAGGTAAAATGAGAAGTAAGTGTTGGAGCCTTGCTGTAATGTATTTTTTTACATAGATGAGATTTATGGCGTTTATATTTTACTTAGCAGAAGTAGAACATGACATAGGACCCCTGTAGTTTTGGGGTTCTAATAGGCACAGTGTACTATTTGTCACCTCTCCCTCTGAAGAGGATCATTTGGATAATTTGAGCTGAGGGATGTGAAATTGTCTTGTAACCTCAACTTATTTGTTACACGTCTCCTATTAGTAATTACAAGTATTGAAAATACTGAATTTTGTGTATGTCATAGGCAATTCTTACAGATTCCATTAAACTGATTGCCTTTGAGGTATCTTTTTCAGAGTGCCATGATGTTCATCATTAAACCTTGTTGTACTGTAATCCTAGCTAGACTATTGTTCTCCTAAAGCCCTATAATAGCAAGATTATTACCATTCCTGGGTATCAAACTTGCCAGGAAATGTTAATGCTTAGTTGAACATGAATAGTAGCATATTCTCCTCATCCTATTATGCAGTTGACCTACGCAAACATTAATTAAATTTATTGATTACCACATGAGTTGTTTTCTTCCAAGTACACTTCAGTTTGGAAACATGACTGTGATTTTGAAACCCTTTTGGAATATGCAAGCAAGATCCATCTGAACTACAATAAATTTAATGAATATAACTATGTATAAGGTTTGGAGCTAAAATTAATTAATTGATTTCATGTTTAAGCAAAGACTTGCCCTCTGACCTTTTCTTTTTTTCCCTTTCTTGCCTCTGCTGTACTTGTAATAATACATTTACCACAGTAAATTTCAGTTGCCTTTAGTACATTATAACTTAGGTATCATACAATTAACCTGTTAAGAGTGCAGTGCAGTGATTTTAAATAAATCTACCAAACTGTACCCATCACCACATCTAATTTTACAGCATTTCCCAGGATCCCAGGATGATCCCTCAGCCATAAATAACCTTTAATATATTTTCTGTCTCCATAGATTTGCCTTTTCTGGACATTTCATATAAATGGACTGACCATGTTTTTTTTCTGTTTAATCAAAAGTTTCTAAAGGACTCTTCAGATGAAAAAGACTACATCAATACCTCACTGATTTTGACTAAAGGATAATAGTTAATATTAAGTTGTTCTCTGTAGTTGGTGTCCAAAGAATTTCAACTAGGACACTTGGTAGTTGAACTTTGGGATTTGGATTAAAATTGCCCAGAGCAGGTAGAGCAGCTCCTACTGCATCTGGTAAGATTTTAGAATTACTGGGATGTGTTGGGACACTCATTGGAAATGTACTCCGTAAGTCACAGTAAGTAGGTCATAATTTTATAGCTTATAGGGTTATCTAAATGGATTTTGACCATCTCATCAAAAGGTACACCAATATATATGATTGCCAAAGATTAGAATGAGGCAATTGATATCAACATATTATTCTTTGAGATTGATACAATAAAAGCTATGATCACATTCTTGACAACTTTTTAAGTTAAGGACTTTTGTTGCTGATTATTATGTTGGGATTCATGGGGCTTTTTTTTTCTAAATGTTAATTGAGGTGTTGACCTGTGTTATCTTCTTCTAAAGTTGATTATATGAGTTATTCTAGTCGGTGCCGCTGCTCACTAGGCTAATCATCCGCCTTGCGGCGCCAGCACCCCGGGTTCTAGTCCCACTCGGGGCGCCGGATTCTGTCCCGGTTGCCCCTCTTCCAGGCCAGCTCTCTGCTGTGGCCAGGGAGTGCAGTGGAGGATGGCCCAAGTACTTGGGCCCTGCACCCCATGGGAGACCAGGATAAGTACCTGGCTCCTGCCATCGGATCAGCGTGGTGCGCTGCCGCGGTGGCCATTGGAGGGTGAATCAATGGCAAAGGAAGACCTTTGTCTCTGTCTCTCTCTCTCTCTCACTGTCCACTCTGCCTCTCCAAAAAAAAAAAAAAAAAAAAAAGAGAGAGTTATTCTAGTCCTATCCTAAATGTAGAGCTAGTGAGGTTGTATGTGTTAGAAAACTTGAGTACCCATTGCCTGTGTGTTGAGTGATTAGTGATCATTTGCTATTTAAATCTACCATTCAAATCAGACTCCATTTTAGGAAAGTCTTGTTTGTTTTTACTTTTAAAAGTTTGCTTAGGAATGAAATCAATTTTTCTTCAAATTGAGCATAAATTAAAAGTCAACCTTTTAAAAGTTTATTTATCTTTATTTGAAAGGCAGAGTGACAGAGAGAAAGAGGGAGAGGGAGAGAGATCTTCCATATGCTTGTTCACTCCTCTAACAGTGGAGGTTAGGCCAAGCCAAAGCCAGGAACTCAATTTGGGTCTCCTACATGAGTGGCAGGGACCCAGCTACATGAGCCATCATCTACTGCCTCCCAGAGTGTGCATTAGCAGAAAGCTAGATCAGAAGTGGAGGCAGGACTCTAAACCAAGGATTCCTAGGGATGTGGGATGCAGGTGTTTCAAGCTGAGGCTTAACCTGCTGTGCAACAACGCCCACCCTAAAAGTCAAACCTTTTTAAGCTTAAATTATTACTAAACTGAGGCATGTATATACATATGTATATGTATATATATAGTTGCTTTATGCCTTCTTTATATGACTAACACATTCTGAGTTTCTACTGTGTAGTAGGCTAACTGGCCAACCTATGAGAGTTGTGAAGGATATGTCATGAGAATTTTATAAGTTTCCATTTTTGCAAAAAATACACTGCATAATTTTCCTCATAAAACACCAAAAAGAGCTGATTCTTGCAGTCATGGATTGAATCAATAAAGGTGAATTGGCAGACTTTTTTTTAACTTTTATTTAATGAATATAAATTTCCAAAGTACAACTTATGGATTACAATGGCTTTTTCTCCTCCATAACTTCCCTCCCACCTGCAACCCTCCCCTCTCCTGCTCCCTCTCCCGTTCCATTCACATCAAGATTCATTTTCAATTCTCTTTATATACAGATCAATATAGCATATATTAAGTAAAGCTTTGAACAGTTTGCACCCACACAGAAACACAAAGTGAAAAATACTGTTTGAGTACTAAAACTAGTTATAGCATTAGATCACGATGTACAGCACATTAAGGACAGAGATCCTACATGAGGAGTAAGTGCACAGTTGCTCCTGTTGTTGACTTAACAAATTGACACTCTTGTTTATGGCATCAGTAATCACCCTAGGCTCTTGTCATGAGTTGCCAAGGCTATGGAGGCCTTTTGAGTTCGCCAACTCTGATCGTATTTAGGCAAGGTCATAGTCAAAGTGGAGGTTCTCTCCTCCCTTCAGAGAAAGGTACCTCCTTCTTTAATGACCTGTTCTTTCCACTGGGATCTCACTCACAGAGATCTTTCATTTAGGTTTGAGTTGTGTTGGTGTGTGTTTTTTTTCTTTTTTTTATTTGCCACAGTGTCTTGGCTTTCCATGCCTGTGAAACTCTCATGGGCTTTTCAGCCGGATCTGAATGCCTTAAGAGCTGATTCTGAGGCCAGAGTGCTGTTTAGGACATCTGAATTGGCAGACTTTTTAATGACCCTGTCATAACCTACCCTTTTAACGTATCTAAGTCTCAAATTCTTTCCTGAAATCTGGTACGTTTGCCACTTAGATTTTCCTTAACACTGTTCCATTCACCACTACCTTATGTACTAATCTTCCCCGTCAGATATTACTCACCCTGACACCCCTAATCCAGGTTATTTTCTCTCCTGCTTACCTTTTCTTCTCCCCAGGTATGTAGACTTATCTCACAAACCAACCTTGCCGAGCAGCTTCCAAGAGTCTGTGTCTGCAAATTTACAGTCATTTGGGATTTTACTCTCTGCTCTATGTACAATGAGCAAGTTATGAGGGAAAGTTGCTTTTTATCAAACTATTTTGTCAATGAATCTGAGGTGATGATGTCCATTCTCAGCAAGGACTAAAGATGTATAGTTGTTGATCTAAGACAGGATAGGAAAATTAGATAGGATGTGCTTTTAAGGAATATTTTAAACATTTTCTATTATTATTTTAATTCCACCACAATGAGATTTATTTTAAATATAAATTTAGATTTGGTATGGCTATCTTATTTATAGAGTTGTATTTCCCTTTTACTACACAGATAATGTAGAATTGACTGTATTAAATAATTTAGACCAGTTATAAATTGCAAAATGAGGCTGTGATAGAACCTTCACACTCAAACCCACTGCTTTTTTGACATTAATTGAAATATTGTTACTTGAATATGCCAGAGCTAATTTATGCCTTTGAAAAATAGCATAAAAGATAAAGAATAAAAAATATAAATACAAAAAGGTTAAAATAATCATACCATTTTTATAATACTCAAGTTTCTTTTATGTTTAGGTTGACAGGCATTAATTTCCCAAAGGTAGTGCTAAACATTTTGGGGAAGTTTTTGTTTGTTTATTTAGCTGTTTCTCTACTAGTGATGATGACAGTTGCTTTTTAAAATTACAAAAACCATACATACATGCATATATACATATATTACTCCCTCTAAAGAAAGCAGTTTATATTTATCTTTCTAGCCCTTTTTCCAAGCATACACAAGTATATATGTATGCTATGGATATATGCATATATACACAGAGTTCTAGAATATGCTGTTCTTCTTAAGCATACATCTTTGGAAATCTGTCCACGTCAAGAAGTAAAAATTAGTTTATTAGAAAATCATGTTCCTTTACAAGAAGAACTTTTTTTTAAAGATTTATTTTATTTATTTTAAAGAGTTGAACAGAGAAGGAGAGGCAGAGAGAGAGAAGTCTTCCATCTGCTGGTTCACTCCCCAAGTGGCCACAATGGCTGGACCCAGGAGCCAGGAGCTTCTTCCGGGTCTCCCACGCAAGTGCAGGGGCCCAAGGGCTTGGGCCATCTTCTACTGCTTTCCCAGGCCACAGCAGAGAGCTGGATTGGAAGTGGAGCAGCTGGGACTCGAACCAGCAGCCATATGGGATGCCAGCACTGCAGGCGGTGGCTTTACCCACTATGCCACAGCGCTGACCCCAAGAAGAACTTTTTTTTTTGACAGGCAGAGTTAGACAGTGAGAGAGAGACAGAAAGGTCTTCCTTTTCATTGGTTCACCCCCCCAATGGCTGCCACGGCCCGCGCACTGTGCCGATCTGAAGCCAGGAGCCAGGTGCTTCCTCCTGGTCTCCCATGCAGGTGCAGAGCCCAAGGACTTGGGCCATCCTCCACTGCCTTCCTGGGCCGCAGCAGAGAGCTGGACTAGAAGAGGAGCAACCAGGACTAGAACCCGGTGCCCCAGCTGGGACTAGAATCCGGGGTGCCAGCGCCGCAGGCGGAGGATTAGCCTAGTGAGCCACGGTGCCAGCCAAGAAGAACTTTTTAAAAAAATAAATTCTATATTGAATGCAGCAGTTATTCAGTATTTAATTGAATTAATAAAGGGGGTCTAATTATAATATTAATTTTCAGCATATCTGGGGAAATATAGTGGTATTTATGTACAGAGACAAGACACCCAGGCCTTTTAGCAGGAAGTAATCTTTTATTATTTATGCTGATGTAAGGCCCTTGTGAAATTTCTTATCCAAAAGCCTGAGCCCTGTACAAAGAGGGGTATTTCCTTTGATGTGGTTTTAGCCTCTTTGTCTACCTTATATGGCTACATGGATACATTTGATTGGATGTTCTAATGCTACATGGTAGCCACAGGAATTGATACAATACTGCGCATGCATGTGTACATAGTTACTGATGATGTTTTTTCACACACATTCTGAGCCATTTGCTATCTGGTGGGGGTTAGCACCATTGCTATATACTAGCAAGCAGAACCTGAAATGGTTCTTTATAAGCTGATGATAACTATAGTTGAAGCATTCATAGGCAAGTAAATAATGACCACATTCCATTTCCAGGGCAAGTTTCTGTTTTCTATCTAACCTTGAGGAGGCCTCTACCACAACTTTAGTTAGAAACAAGTTTAATTAAAAAGACAAAGGCCTGGGGCCTGCCCTGTGGTGCATCAGGTTAACGCCCTGGCCTTAAGGGCTGGCATCCCATTTGGGCACTGGTTTGAGACTCCCACGCGGGTACAGGGGTCCAAGGACTTGGGCTATCTTCTACTGCCTTCCCAGGCCATGGTTCATGTCCTGGCTGCTCCACTTCTGATCCAGCTCTCTGCCATGGCCTGGGAAGGCAGACCCGGAAGAAGCTCCTGGCTCCTGGCTTCAGATCAGCGCAGCTCTGGTCGTTTTGGCCACTTGGGGAGTGAACCAGAGGATGGAAGACCTCTCTCTCTCTCTGCCTTTCCTCTCTATGTAACTCTGACTTTCAAATAAATAAATAAATAAATAAATCTTAAAAAAAAAAAAAGACAAAGGCCTCTACCGCAGAAGAATTTCCTTTCAAATAAGATTTTTATTCTCAATGATGTATGTCTAAAAATACCATTCAGGATCCAATCTGAAATCTCCCCAGTGTTCTGACTATTAATGACCCCAGGGTTATTTCATGATTGAGCATGGTCTTCCTTGTGGTGCTCATTTCACCCTCACAAGGACTAACATGAAGAATGGGGAATTATCCTAAGGATTCTTGTGTCCAAAAGGGAAATGGAATCTTATAGAAATCTTTTATAAACATTGCCATGATACTTTTACCTCAATGAGATTGGAATTTAATAGTTATTATTCTTAATTTTGACTTACTCATGGCCCCCTATTTCTGCTTTAAGCCTTTCTGTGTCAATCTTTTCAACTCCTTCCTACAATCTTATTCTTCTTACGCTTTTGGAAATATTCCCTGCTTTCTGCCTAGAGTCTGATTCTTTCCATATTTTTGGAAGTATTTCTATATTTCTACTTAGAATTGGATCCTACCATATTGCTAAATTTCTGAAAAGGAAAATGAGACTCTGATCCACGTTATCTGTGTTTGTGTGGAGCTTTTCATGCCAGAACCTTGCACAGGCTAGTAGCATATGGAGCGACTTCTAATGCTTCACATGCCTGCTCCTGACCCAGTCATCTGTGATCCAAGAGCAAAGGATAGAGTTACTGGAATAAAAGAGGAATGTCTGAGCCTGTTCCCTCAGTAAGAATAGGGTAGGCCAATTTCTTTCTTTCTTTCTTCCTTCTTTTCTTTCTTTTCTCTTCTTTCTTTTCTTTTCTTCCTTTTGCCAGTTCCTTTAGAATAGTTAATGCATGTGGCAGGTGGTACCATGAATTATGTATTTATCTAGTACAGTTATTAACCTGAAAATATTGCTAATTTGGAAAGTAAGGTTAACATAAAAGGAACAAACAATTGTGAACTTGTTATAATACATCTTTACAAAAAAAGTCTTGTTACAGAAGCAGTATTTAATTCTAAGAACATTTGAAAAATGCAGAGAACCAAAAAGAAGAAAACATTTCCAGTGCCCACCAGCTGCAATTTTTAGTGCTTTGTTCTTTAAGTTCTCAGTATGTAGTACAAATCAAAAATGCTACAGAAGTTTAAAAAACCAAAATGAAATAACAAATAGGAGAGAAGTGGGCGATAAACAGGAAGAACAAATAATTTGAATGAAGCTATGAACTAGGATTTCACCTGTAAAGGGCAAGGCATTCTAGTAGGGGTGCAGCAGGAAAAGACATGCAGAAGAGGGGTCTAGATTATAGACATAGCTTTTGGAGGCTTTTGGCTATTAGGTTGGCAAAGTTATATCCCCATGATTAACAGCTACAGAGAAACAGGTACTCTCCCCTATTGAAAGGAATGCAAATTAGAAAAATCCTTTTGGTAGGGCAATTTGGCAAGATACATTAAAATTTAGAGCATGCTGACCCTTTGATCTAGTAATTTCATTTCTCAGAATGAATTACAGAAATATAGTCATGTAAATATACAGATAGAGATGTACAGAGTTTTTTGCGAATTGCAATTATTCTTTCCTTGAATATTTAGTGAAACTTAGCAAGGAGGTCATCTGGGCCTGGAGTTTTGTTTATACAAGAGCTTTAAGGATTGATTCCATTTATTTAATGGTTATCAAGCTAGTTAGGTAGTAAGTTTTATTTTTCTATGGCAAGATGTTTGGTTCACAGGAAGGTTAATCCAGATACCTGGCCAGCCATATGTGTCACTCATATTGAAACAGTTTTGTGTTCAAACTGACAATTTTTAAGAATACATAAATATTTCTTAACCCGAATTATCAAGGCTTAAAACACAAGTTTCTCATTTCTTACTAACATTATATGTTCTATTTTCCAGCTACAACAGCAACAACTACCACCACCACTGTCACCACCACCACCACTACTATAATCAACAGTGGTTTTAACAAGAATCTAAAGCCACTGGCATCAGCTTGGATTAACACTGACCCAATCAGTGTTCATTCTGTACCTTTTACTTCGACTGTTAAGTAAGCCTATTTCTTGAAAATTCATGTTTCATTTTATTTGTCACATGTAAGTCATAATTTATATTTGAAAGTTAGATAAATGACTGAGGGAACAGTTAGAGAAAGATTTCTGTAGCTTAGAAGTTGAGCAACCAACAAACAGTACATCTTTGCCTTTTGATTACCAGTAGTACAATCATTACTATTACTAATAGCCACTTATTGCACAATCACTGTGTGTTTATCAAGATGATAGTGCTTTACAAACATCATGTCATTTAATATTCACAAGAAGCCTACGAGATAGGTGATATTTTTCTTCCTATTTCGTAGATGAGAAAATTAGAGGGGGCCGGCACTGTGGCTCACTTGGTTAATCCTCCGCCTGTGGTGCCGGCATCCCATATGGGTGCCAGTTCTAGTCCTGGTTGCTCCTCTTCCAGTCCAGCTCTCTTCTGTGGCCCGAGAGGGCAGTTGAGGTTGGCCCAAGTCCTTGGGTCCCTGCATCCGCATGAGAGACCAGGGAGAAGCACCTGGCTCCTGGGTTCAGATAGGTGCAACACCGGCCGTGGTGGCCATTTGGGGAGTGAACCAATGGAAGGGTGACCTTTCTCTCTGTCGCTCTCTCTCACTGTCTATAACTCTATCTGTCAAATAAATAAAAAAAATCAGAGCACATAAAAATTTTATAATCTGCTCATGATCACATACTTGATAATGGGTGAGCCAGGTGAGGAGCCTGCATTATTATATATGATATTATGCTCTTCCCTAATATTTATTCCTTTTTAAAATTAAGCTTCTTATTTTGATATTTTGTAGAATCACATATATTTTTAAGAAATAATAGGAAACATTATATATGTGCTTTATAATTTTCTCCAAAGATAGCATCTTATAATACTAAGATACTGACTGGTACAGTCAAGATACAGAGTAGTTAAATCACCACAAGGACTTCTCTTGTTTTACTGCCACATCCATAACCCTCCCCACCATTCCCTGACTCTGGACAACAATTATGTTCTTCATTTCTTTAATCTTGATATGAGAAGAATGCTATATAGATGGGATTATATATAAGTAACCCTTGGGGATTGGATTTTTTTCATTCAGCATAATTTCATGAGTTCCACCTAAGTTATTTCTTGCATTAAGTTTGTTCTTTTTTTTTTATTTTTGACAGGCAGAGTGGACAGTGAGAGAGAGAGACAGAGAGAAAGGTCTTCCTTTGCCGTTGGTTCACCCTCCAATGGCCACCGCGGCCGGTGCGCTGTGGCCGGCGCACCGCGCTGATCCGATGGCAGGAGCCAGGTGCTTCTCCTGGTCTCCCATGGGGTGCAGGGCCCAAGCACTTGGGCCATCCTCCACTGCACTCCCTGGCCACAGCAGAGAGCTGGCCTGGAAGAGGGGCAACCGGGACAGAATCCGGCGCCCCGACCAGGACTAGAACCCAGGGTGCCGGTGCCACAAGGCGGAGGATTAGCCTAGTGAGCCACAGCGCCGGCCTAAGTTTGTTCTTTTTTATTTCTGAGTAATATTCCATGGTGTTGTGGATGTACTATGATTTGTTTAATCATTCATCTGTTGGTGGACATCTAGATTGTTTCCAGTTTTTTGGCTATTATGAATAAAATTAGTGTGAACTTTTGTGTAGTTTTTTTTCTGATCCTTAGTCTCATTTGGGTGGCATAATAGTTGCATGTTTATTTTTTAGGAAATTGCTAAGATGGCTTTGCCATTTTACATTCCTACCAGCAATATATGAGTGATCCAGACTGTCCACATTCTAATCAGGATTTGGTTGCACTATTTTTTATTTTAGACCTTGTGATAGATGTGAAGTGATACCTCATTATAGTTTTAATTTGAGTTTCCCTGATGACTATTGATGTTAAACATCTTTTTGTGTATTTATTTGCCATCATCCTCTTTGGTGAGGTTTCTATTCATATCTCTTGTCCATTTTCTGATTTTTAATGTTCAGGGCTTTTTTTTTAACTGTTCAGCTTTGAGAGTTTAGTATATATTCTGGATACCAGTCCTTTTCCAGATATATGATTTATAAATGTATTTTCTAACACTATAACTTAAAATTTCATCCTCTTAACAATGTCTTTTTTGCTGAAGAAAACCTTTTAATTGATAAATAATCTGTCAGTTTTTCTTTAACAGTTTTTTTGACTTTAGTGTCAATTATAAAAACTCTTTGCTTCACCGTAGATCCCAAAGATTTTCTCCTATTTTTCTATAAGATTTATAGTTTCACATTTTACATTCAAGCTCCTGATCCATTTTGAGTTCTTTAATATAAGGTGTGGAGTTTAGATTGAGGCCATTTTTCTTTCCTTTATGGATGTTCAATTTTTCCAACATCATTTGTTTAAAGACCATCCTCCACTACTGAATTACTTTTGTATCTTTGTCAAAAATCAATTGGACATATTTGTGTCTCATGCTTTTTCAGTCTCGATACAATCTTTTTAGATTTTTTTCTTTGTCTTGATTTCATGGTGGATTTCACTGTTTGATTTTCAGGTGTTCAACCAGTCTTGCATATGTGAAATAAATACCACTTGGTCAAGTTGTATAATTTTTTAATATATTCTTTGATTTGCTATATTTTTTGTAATTTATTTCTTTTTTCAAAGGTGTTATTTATTTATTTGAGAGATAGAGTTACAGACAGTGAAGAGGGAGAGACAGAGAGAAAGGTCTACCATCTGTTGGTTTACTCCTCAAATGGCTGCAATGGCTGGAGCTGCACTGACCAAAGCCAGGAGTCAGGAGCTTGTTCTGGGTCTCCCATGCAGGTTCAGGGACCCTAACGTCTGGGCCATCCTCCACTGCTTTCCTAGACCACATCAGAGAGCTGGATTAGAAGAGGAGCAGCTGGGACTAGAACCAGCACCCATATAGGATGCCGGTGTCACAGGTGGAGGATTAACCTACTGAGCCACAGTGTCGGCCCCTGTAATTAATTTCTTTCCTGTTCTTGGTTTTGACATCAGGATAACACTGGCCTTATAAAATGATCTGGGAAAGATTGTATTCTCTTATTTTGTAGAAGACATTATACAAAATTTGCATTAATTCATTAAATTGGCAGAATTCGCCAGTGAAATTTTCTGGGCCTAGATAGTTCTTTTACAGGACATTTTTTGAGGATTTATTTTATTTATTTGAAAGAATTACAGAGAGAGGTGGAAACAGACAGACACAGAGAGAGACAGAGAGACACAGAGAGAGAGAGAGATCCTCCACCCACTGGTTCATTCCCCAAATGGCCAGAACTGCTGGGGCTGAGCTGATCTGAAGCCAGGAGCCAGGACCCTCCTCTGAATCTCCCACGTGGGTGCAAGGGCCCAACACTTGGGCCATCCTCTGCCACTTTCCCAGGCACACTGGCAGGGAGCTGGATCGGAATTGGAGCAGGCGGGACTCGAACCAGAGTCCATGCAGGATGCTGGCACCACAGGCCGAGGCTTTGACCTGCTGTGTCACAGTTCTAGCCCCAACAGGACATTTTAAAATGCAAATGAATTTCTTTAATGGTTCTTAGACTGTTCTGGTTATCTAGTCCATCTTTAATGAATTTTAGTAGTGTATAGTTTTCAAGGAATTGGTCTGTTTCTTCTAAGTTGTCAAATTTATGAACATAATGTTCTTACTATTCCCTTATTGTCTTTTTAATAACTGTAGGTATATTCCAGTTTAATTTATAATATTGGTAGTCTGTGGCCTTCTTTGATCACTTTTATTGATCATTTTTACAAAGAACCAGTTTTTGTTACACTGATTATTCTCTGATTTTTTTTGTTTTCCCATTTCCAATTTTATTGATATCCACTCTATTAAATTTTTCAGGTTGTGTTGGATTTATTTTGGTCTTTTTCTTTCTTTCTTTTTTTGAGGTATAAAATTAGACTATTGACTTGAGAACTTTCCTCTTTTGTAATGTAAACATTTAGTGCTATAAATATCTCATCACTGCATTAGTTGTGTTTCATATATCTTGTTTTGTTGTAATTTCATTCTGCTTTATATACTTCAAAAATTTCTTTTGTAAAAATTTCTCTGACCCATGTACTATTTAGATGGATATTTAATTTCCAACTGTTTGGGTGTTTTTCCTTTCTATATTTGTTTCTAGTTGGATTCCATTATGATCAGAGAATATGCTGTGTATGATTTCCTGTTGAAGTGAAATGGACACTATGAGAAACAATGACTTGATCAGCCCTTGTCCTGACTGTCGAGGAACAACTTACTACTTTATTCCTTTTAGTATTTTTTTTGTTCTACTTAATACCATTATATGAACTCTTTAATTAATCACAATTATTCTTAGGTGTTTAAATTTAACTGAACAGTGACCCCTGTTAAATATAAGAATGGGAATAAGAGAGGGAGGAGATGTACAGTTCAGCACATGCGCAATCTGACTTGCCCCTAACAGTAGAGCTAGAAACATTCCAGGGGACTCCAATTCAATCCCATCAAGGTGTCATGCACCAATGCCATCTCACTAGTCAAAGTGATCAGTTTCAGTTCATAATTGATCATAACAATAGGATTAAGAGTCAAAGGGATCACATAAACAAGACTAGTGTCTGCTAATACTAACTGATAGAATTAAGAAGGAGAGAACCATCCAACATGGGAAGCAGGATACACAGCAGACTCATAGAATGGCAGATGTCCTAAACAGCACTCTGGCCTCAGAATCAGCCTTTAAGGCATTCAGATCCAGCTAAAAAGCCCATGAGAGTCTTTCAGGCATGGAAAGCCAAGACACTATGGAAAAAAAAAGACCTAAATGAAAGATCTCTGTGAGTGAGATCCCAGTGGAAAGAATGGGCCATCAAAGAAGGAGGTACCTTTCTCTGAAGGGATTTCAGCATTTTTTATAAAAGATTTATTTATTCGAAAGGCAGAGTTACAGAGAGGCAGGAATAGAGAGAGGTCTTCCATCTGCTGATTCACTCCCCAAATGGCTGCCACAGCTGTAGCTGGGCCATTCCAAAGCCAGGAGCCTGTAGCTTCCTCCAGGTCTCCCACATGAAGGCAGGGTCCCAACCACTTGAGCCATCTCCTGCTGCTTTCCTAGGCACATTAGCAGGGTGCTGGATTGGAAGTGGAACAGCCGGGACTCAAACTGGCACCTATATGGGATGTCGGCAATGCAGGCTGCAGCTTTACCTGCTACTTCACAGCACTGTCCCTGATTTCAGTTCTTTTATATTTGTCCAGGTTTGTTTTATGGCTGGGGATATGGTCTGCCTTGGTGACTATTCCATGGACACTTTAAAACTCATTTGGTTGTTTTGCCTGTTGAGTAGAATGCTCTCTGGTCAGGTGGTTCTGTTGCTTCATTGAATTTTCAGATAATGTATCCTTTTTTTAAAGATTAATTTTTGTTTTACTTGAAAAACAGAGTTACAGAAAAAGGAGGAGAGACACAGAGAGATCTTTCATCTGCTTGTTCACTCCCCAAATGGCCAGAATGGCCCAGGGCTCAGCCAGTCCAAAGCTAGGAGCCTGGAGCTTCTTCTGAGCCTCCCAAATGGGTGGAGGGACCCAAGAATTTGGGCCATCCTCTGTTTCTTTCCCAGACACATTAGCAGGGAGCTGGATCAGAAGTAGAGCAGCCAGGTCTTGAACTGGCGCCCATATGGGATGCTGTCATTACAGTCAGAGGCTTAACCTGCTATGACACAATGCCAGCCCAAAAATTCTGTATTCTTTTTTTCTCTACTATTTTATTTCAGTTTTGCAAAGTGGCTTCTTGATGTTCCCATCTATTACTGGATTTGTCTATTTCTGCCTTTAGCTATATCTCTTTTCGTTTCATACATTTTGAGGCTCTGTTTTTTTTTTTTTTTAAATCTAATTCTGTTTCAGGTTTATTGATTGATTGTGAGAGGCAGAGAGAAATATATAGATCTATCCACTGGTTCACTCCTCAAGTGCCAGCAATGGCTGGTGATAGGCCAGGCTGATTCTGGGAAGCAGGAGCTCAATCCAGATCTCCCACTTGGGTGGCAGAGCCATCACCACTATCTTCCACGGATCATATTAGCAGGGAGCTGGAATCAAGAGCTGGAGCCCAGCATTAAACCCTGGTACTCCTGTGGGCATCTTAACCACTCTCTCAACCACTAGACCAAAAACCTGCCCCAAGACTCTTATTATTTTATTGTTTAACATCTAGGATTGTTAAATTTCTGGGTGCCTTGATTCTTTTATCATTATGTAATGTTTCTTTGACATTGATACATTTTCTTTGCTTTATAGTATACTCTATCAGATATTGACAGTTATTTCTTTTTGAAAATTAATCTTGTAGGGTATACATCTTTTTCTGTCTTTTTACTTTTTTTTTCTGTCTTTTTACTTTTAACCTATGTATGTCATTGTATTGAAAGTGATTTTTTTAAGAAAGCATCTTGTTAGATTGCGTTTTATGCACTCTGCCAATCTCTGTCTGAATTGGCATATTTAGCATATTTGCATGTATGGTAATTATGGATATGTTAGAACTTAAGTCTGCCATTTTATTATCAGTTTGTTATCTCTGATTTTTACTATTTTTCTCTTTTTTTACCTTCCTATTGACTGTTTGAATATTCCTTTAGAGTTCCATTGTGTTCTGTTTATAGTGTTTTTAATATATGGTTTTGTATAGGGTTAGTTATTCTAGGTATTACAATATATATTTAAATTAAAACAATCTAGTCATATTAACAGTTTACACTTTGGGTAAAGTATAGAAACCTTATTTCCACTTACCCTTCTTACCTTTAAAGTATAACATCTTAAGTTTTTCCTTAATGTACATTGAGCATCATATAACATTGAATTATAACTTTTGTATAAACCATCAAATATGATTTAAGAAACTTATTAGAAGTAAAATAGTATACTTAACACATTTTGATGTTCTTGTTTCCTTTATGTGATGTTTCAAGTCTTCTGTTTTTGTTTGCTTTCTGTTTAGCTAATCTTCAAGGATAGATTTTTCTGACAACAAATGCTCTTAATTAGATTTTGTCTGAGCATATATTTATTTCCTCTTCATTTACAAAGGACATTTTAACCAGAAATAAAAGTCATTGTCAATACTTTTGTCCTTTCATTACTTGCAAAATGTGCTTATTTCTTCTAGCCTCCATGGCTTCAGGTGAGAAATCTGCTGTCATTCAAATAGGTGTTTACCTTTAAGTAATGAATTTTTTTCCTCTCTGATATGCCCAAGATTTTTTTTTCCTTTCTCTTTAGTTTTCAGAAGTTTAATTATTATGTGCCTTAGCATGGATTTCTTTGAGTTACTCTGGAATTATTCAACTTTTTGAATCTGTGGATTATATCTCTTGCCAAATTTGGGGATTTTAAAAATATTTATTTATTTATTTTGAAAGAACTGCAGACAGAGATCTTCCATCCACTATTTCACTCCCCAGAGGGCTGCAACAGCCAGTGCTGGGCCAGGAGGGAGCCAGGATCCAGGAGCTTCTTCTGGTCTCCTATGTAGGTGGCAGGAGCCCAAACACTTGGCTCATTCTTTCTTGCTTTTCCAAGGCCATTAGCACAGAGCTGGATTGGAAATGGAACAGCCAGGATGTAGAACATGAACCAGTGCCCATATGGGATAGTGGCTTTGTAGGCAATGGCTTTATTTGCTATGGAACAATGGCAGCCCCAATGCCAGCCATGGGAATTTTTAATTTTTTAAAATAATTTTTTGGTTCCATTCCTGTTTCTTCTTTCTGGAACTCTTATTATACAAATGTTACCTCTTTTATTATTGTCCTTTAGATTGTTGAGATAATTTTTTCTTTCTGCCTATTTTCTCTTTATGGTCCTCAAATTCACTGATTTCTTTTTTTAAAAAAGATTTATTTATTTGAAAGGCAGAGTTACACAGAGAGAGAAGGAAAGGCAGAGAGGTCTTCCATTTGCTGGTTCACTCCCCAGTTGGCTGCAATGGCCAGAGCTGTGCAGATCCAAAGCCAGGAGCCAGGAGCTTCTTCCAGGTCTCCCATGTGGGTGCAGGGCCCCAAGCACTTGGGCCATCTTCCACTACTTTCTGAGGCCATAGCAGAGAGCTGGATCAGAAGTGGAGCAGCCGGGACTCAAACCAGTGCCCTTATGGGATGCCGGTGCTGCAGGTGGCGGCTTTACCTGCTACGCCACAGCACCGGCCCCAAGTTCACTGATTTCTATCCTCTGACAGCTGTTCTCTAGTATTAAACCCTTCAGATAAACTTGCTATTTCAGTTTTTTTGTTTTTAAGTTTTATATTTTCTACTTGATAGTTTTTCGTAATTTTCATTTCTTTGCTGAGATTTTGTACTTTGCCCTTTGCTTCAAGAAAATTCAAAATTGCTTGACTCTTTTTCTGATGGTTGCTTTAAAGTTCTTTTCAGATAATTCCAACATCTGATACCTCTCAATGTTAGCATCTGTTGATTATCTTTGCTCTTCAGAGTTGTGTTTTTCCTAGTTCGTTATATGATGATTAATATTTTATTATGTCCTGGGTATTTTGTCTATTATGTTAGAGAATTAGAGTCCTATTTACATTTTTTTTTAATCTTTAGTCAGTTCCCTTATTGAGGTATAGTGCAAGGTATGGGTGTGTTTGTATGTTCATCTTGCCACTATACCTTGCCCACACTTCCCCAGCAAATGTGGAACACTGAGTCACACTGCCTCAATGCATGTGGGTGATATGGAAGTTTAACTACTCCCTCAGTCCCACTGCTCATTTCTCATGAAAATGGGGCATAGCATCACATCACTTCGTTGCTTCTAGGTGGGGATGAAAGCTCAGTTCAACTGGGTCCTGGAACCCTATATCAAGGGGAAATGGAGACTGATCCATATCGCTTAGTTGCTGCTGGTAGAGGCAGGATTTAAGCTTTCTATTAACACCCCACTGGCACAAGGGGAGGAAGAAAGTAGGATGTGAACTACGTACCTCAAACCATGTCATTCAGACTCATTGATGCTGGGTTGGTATGAAGGCTTAGCTCTCTGCTGGATCCTGCTCACACAAGACTGCACCCTTCTTTGCCCTGCCTTGATTTTTCCAGTGGGTGTAGAAGTCAAGATCTCCACTGAGCCTTGCTGACCCTGAGGCTGGTGGGAAACAGACTCCTTACTAGTCCCAAATTGCGTTACTTTGTTCGGTCTTAATGACAACAGGTTCAGCTCTCTGTTGCTTCTCCCTGACACCAGAGGCAAGGAGTGAAGCCTGATGGAGACTAATCCTGCCTCACTCTGCATCGTTAACTCTTACTGCTGCTTGGTGGAGATTAAGATTCAGCTTGTCATTAGAGCCCATTGACAGTACCCCCTGGGATAATTGGAGCACTGCCTGCTTCTGCCAAGCATAGGATTTATGATTACCTTTCTCACTGAGCCCTACCAACAGTTCCCCATCAGAAGAATTAGAACATGGCCTGGACCCACTGGCTGTGGGATCAAAGATCAGCTGGCTGCTCAGCCTTTTTGATACCACCTGGCAATGGAATTGTAGTTCTACCTGGCTCCACCCAGTTGGGGAGACCCACTCTGCTCAGATAGGGGGGAATGGATCACTTTGACTAAGGGGTAGAGGGAGAGAGAGTTCTATTTCCTTGGCCACATCCATCTAGAACGGAGCTTCCACCATTACTGAGCTGGGATGGTTGGAAGAGAAGGAGCAGATTGTAGCATAGTCCTCAGCTCTTAGTGTGATTTAGCAGCTTTGTTGATAAATATTTGCTATATTCCCCTAGGATAATTTCCAGAGATTTTAATGATTTTTAAATAATCTTTACCAGTTATGATTACTTTGTTGTGGAGCAGGTATGAGAACTCTTCAGGTGCTATTTTATCTTCAGAGTCCATCTGTGTTATTTGTTATAAAAATATGGCCATGCTTTTAGAAGTATGAGTATATGATCATACTGCATCCTTTTATTTTTTAGTTCGATAGCAACTCCTGTGATGACATATGGTGATCTGGAGGGTCTGATGAACAAGTGGAGCCTTGATCTAGAGGAACAAGAGAAGCAGTTTCTTTTCCAAGCTATGCTAGTCAATGCTTGGGACCATATATTGATTGAGAATACTGAGAAGGTAGGAAGATGTTCCATTAATCTACCTATATTGTACAAATATTTTCAGATGACCACAAGAGAATGTTTTGTAGTCAACTTTCTATTCTAGTGTTGATGAGAGGCTTCCAAATATTTCCCTTAGATAATAAGTGCCCTGAATTGGGAAAGCTTTCATATCTGGTGTGTATTTAAGAAAATTAATATTGTGCTAAAATTATTAAATACATTCAAATACTTAGATTATTATATTTTATTTTTCGTTTTAGATTATTTCTTTACATGGAGAAGTGGAAAAAGTGAAACTGGCTCAGAAAAGGTAGAGCTTTAGATTTTCCTAAGCTGAAAGATTAAAGACTAATCATTTTGTTCAGTTTTCCCCCCTTGTAGTTTATTGGCATTTATTATGTTACTCCAAATTCCTTTCGTCAGCCCTTCTATTGACATATTTTATTCAGGTTGGAACAAGAATTGGATTTTATCCTATCAGAGCAGAAGGAGCTGGAAGATGTGTTGACTCCTTTGGAGAAAGCTGTGAAGAAGCATAGGGAGCCTGTTTATCTGCAGCATACAGAAGAGGAGCATGAGAGGATGTAAGTCATTGAATAAAGATCAAGGAATGGGGTAGGATTTATGTAATATGAAAGCATTCCAAAAAAGGGGGAGGGAGAGTTAAGTTAGAAAACAGAATAAAAATTGATAGAAAAAGACAATGGTTGACTTTATTGATTTGTTTTTTTTCTGTATGCTTTAAAATGGAATCACTTTGGAAATTTTGTTTTATGACATTTTATAGATTTATTAATCTTAACATTATGTATGTTTGCTATAAAGATTTTAATATTTTTAAAATTTGTCCTTAGAAATGCCCATTTTATATGTATGAAGTCATAATATTATGGGATATTTATATCAACTCTTCTAAATTTAATATTGATGCATTTGCTTAATAATAAATCATTTGATATTTTTAAGGTGATTTATTTATCTAGGGCCATACTGCATAGCTTTCAAAAAATGGGACATTTTTGTCAATATCTTCAGCTAGGTATATTTTATTTGTACATTATTCTTTATTTACCTTCTGTTGTTATAGTGCCAGTGTTCCCATAGTAACTTTTTCTCTCTGTGACTAAGATCTGGTAATCAGGCCAATTTATAAAGTGCTAGGAGAACTTGTATGAATGCACTACACAATTTGGATGGAGACTAAATTGGACTCCTTTTATCAATGGTTCATTAGTGAGTTAAGAAAGCTTATTTCTACAAGGCTTGCAATTTAATATTTTTGTAGGGACATTAAGTGTGATAAGTATAGCTAATCTGTATAACCCTAGTTTTATTCTTGCTTTTATATTTCTGCCTTTGTGAATTTTTCTTTTCTTTGCATTTCTTCCTATGCATTCTATAATTTTTGAAATATATAAAATTTTTGTCCATATAGTCCTAATTATACTTTGAATCTTTGGAACATTAGATGGTCTTTTGTAGTCAAGTTTATATTGTGATAAAATCTTCACTAGAATCTTCAACAATCTAGGCAACTATGTACTGTGGCAGAGAAAAGCAGAATATAATTACCAACAAATCTAACTAAATCTTTTCATCTTTGTAGACATTAAGGTTGAAAAATCCTCTTGACCATTTTAATTTTCACAAACATATTAATTTGTTGTATGTGTGCACGTGCACATGTGTGTGAGTGTATGTGTGTGTGTGTTAACAGTATAGATGGAGATCTTAAGAACTCAGATAACTAATGGATTTGTTGTGAAATTAGAATTATCTGCCTTTTATGGTGAAGCTCATTTCTCAGAATATCTTTTGTTGCTTGGTGGTATACACTTACTTTGGAAATCTATGTATTCAAGATCATTGAAGACATTGCAGCATTTATTGAAAATTTCTAAATAGTAAATAACTTCTCATATATATGTAAGTGTCTTATGGGTGTATTTTGAAACCCAAAAAGAGTTACTTTAGAGCACCTCAGAGTATTAACCAGGGAGTAAGTAGGTGATAATAAAAATGGCAAATGAATAAAAGCCTTCACTTTTGGAGTCTTTTTAGAATATGGTAATAATAATATTATGAATGTTGCATCCATGAAAATGTGCCATTGGTCATAACTGAGAACCCTCTAAGAAAGTAGAGAAATTAGGACAAATTTAGTCTCCAGTATCATTTTTGTATGTAATAACAATATATAGTGAAGATACTTCTTGTTAATCTCTTCATTTTACCTTTCTTTTCAGTTACAGATTAGCAGAAAATATAGATGTTCAGCTGAAACAAATGTCCCAAGATCTCGAGGACATTATTAATCACCTGAATGCATTTGGAATTCCTGCTGACACTACTGACCTGGTGTGTTTCAATGCTTTGTATATTTAGACAGCCAAGATTTAATATGAAATTAGCATTCTGTGGTTTCTTTATTCACCTTCTCTTGTCCCCTGTGGTGCTCCTGACTGTGCCTCTAGAGATATGAAGGTTTTAGGCATGGTTAGTGGGGCAGGAAATATTTAGAGGCAAAAAGGTTATGAGGCTTTTGTGGTTATTCACAGGAGAGTGAAAAAACAGCTTTGCTCCAGAAGTTTCCAAAATTTACTCCCTTCTTCTTCACATAAGTATATATCCCTGTATTTTTTTTCTGTTCACTTACTCATTAGCTAATTTATTCTTCCTTTTACATGTTTATTTACATACTTCTATAAATGTAAGTATCTATGTTTGTATATGTTAGATATATTTAAGCAGTACTTAATTTATGACTGGCTTATGCCTTAAAAGATTGATAAATTAACTCTTTGAGACTTAACATGCTTTTCCATAGAAACTTTGTTAAATATGATTATTGGATTTCTACCTGCTCCATAGAACACTACTTAGCTCATAATGTAAATGCATTATGGTTAGAATGGTAAATTATGGTGAATGCATTATGGTAAAATACAACTGAGACTTGAGTTAGAGTTGAGTTGTCATGAGTTAATTTGTTAAGAAAAGATTGTGTTTTTCTGCCTTTTTCTGTATGAGTACCCTAGTTAAAGAGCATATCCTCTAATTTTTCTCTATTGTCTTAGCAGCCAGATGAAGTCTTCTTTTTCCCACTCCCACTCCATGGCAGTAATGATAAGAGGAATCTCCCATTATGAGAGTTTCCATTGTGCTTTCTATTGATTAATTATAATTAGGAGTGGGGGCAGGATATGGGTAGATGGTGACGAATGATACACACACATACATAAGTTTACATAAAAGTGGTGATTATTCTCTGGTAAACTCTTTGTCCAATTATATTCAGACAGTTCTTATTTACATACACATGACCAGCCTTTGTAATTATACAGAAACAACATGTTATAGTTCAGAAAGCATTAAAATTTTGTTTATGCCATTTAATCTCTCTGGGTCTTTGCTCCTTCTTTAGCAAAATGTCAAGGATAGACTACATGATCTTTAAGTCTTTTCTAACTATAAAAGTGATGCCATTTTCTAGGTGAATCTAGAGTTGAACAAATCAAATATGTTACTCTGGGATTATCTTTTATACCATTTCATTGTGTTAACATAGATGGTCAAGTATTAACAGATTTTCTTTTAATGAAATATTAAATTACCATTTTCATTTCAAAACTTTGTTGTGATAGAATTTTGATGCATAGATAAATACATGCAGTTATAGACATGGAGCAGGGCCCATATCCAGTTTGTATTGAATTAATATTGAGTGTTCTCAATAAAGTAAAAGGAGACTATAATCCTATCTTTTGCTCTAAAAAAAAGTTTTATCTTGCTTTTTACTAGTTAATTGAATCACATATGCTAATATGGGGTATAGACTGAACGGTTTTAAGATTAACTCAATGAATCCATTTATTCACATTCAAATATTATAGCAAAACTAATAATTAGTATTTTCACAATACAAATGTATTTTAACTACAGCGCTTAATGATATCTAAAGTCAAATCCTGATTTTAAGAAGATTTATGGTGGAAGAGAAGCAGGCATTTAGCCTAAGAGTTAAGACACCTACCTCTGATATCAGAGTACCTGGGTTTAGTACCCAACTCTGGCCACTGACTTCAACTTGTTGCTAAACAGATCCTTTGATGTGGGCAGCAAAAGACTTGGCTTTGATCCAGCATTGTGGGCATTTGGAGAGTGAACCAGCAGATTGGGTTCATATCTGTCTCTGCCTGTTCTAGCACTTTCTGTCTCTATGTCTCTGCCTCTAAACATTTTTAAAAAAGGTTTTTGGGAAATGTCTTTATGAGTAATATGTTGAGTGTTGATACAAATTTTTTTCCATCATAATACATGGCAGCTGTTATACACTAATAGAATCATATGTTTAAAGAATCAGTTCTTTAAAAATTATTTGGCAAGTAAACATTACACTTTAAATATGTTAAAATATTGCACTGTCCAATAAATTTTCCAATATCCCTGAGCAATTTATGGAGGAACAAGCCCATTTCTTTGTCTGACCTATTTTGAACCAACAGTTATATAACTGAAATAGAAGAGATCAGAGAAAAGCATAAGAATATTGAATTAAGGAGTATCTGAACATGTACAGGTAATATCCAATTTTCAAATTTGCTATTTATCCATTTACTTTATCCATTCCTCTTTTCCCCCTGGTTAGTATATATAACTGAGAGTTAATACTAACTACAGTCAAATACCAGTTCCTTCTCTTGCCTTTCTCTCAATAAAAATTTATAGCATTATTTTGAAGTTGGCTTGGTGGCAGTGCTGAAGTCACACATTTGTCTTTTGAGTTGGCAATCAATGAAACTGTGGCAACTCCAGTTCTTCTGGGATCACTTGTGACCGAGTTGGCAATCCTTCTGAGCCAATTTGTTATTTGTTTCAAGTACACAGAGCTACTTTTCTCAGAGGGGGGAAGAGGGGTAAAATATTAACATTTTTTTGTTTCTTCATAAACCAGACAATCATTGCCCCGTTGATATTAACAAACCATAATAAAAGAAAAGGCAGTGGAAATGTTATACTTGTCATTATTAGAAAGTTCAGGTTTTTTTTTTTTCAAAAAAATATTTATTTATTTGGAACCCATAGTTACATAGATAAAGAGAGCTTGTATCTGCTGGTTCAGTCCCCAAATGGCCATGACATCCAGGAACCTGGAATTCCATCCAGGTCTCTCACATGGGTGACAGGGGCCCAAGCACTTGGGTCATCTTCCTCAGTGAATATTTTTATAGTAGTATACTTCTTTCATGAAGTGTCCCTAAGCTTCAAGAGTAAAACATATTTCATCCATAATCATTGCAATCTCTTATGGAATAGAACTGCATAATTATTTAATAACTGCTTACAACATTTAGACGGCTATTTAGGGCAGAAAGAGTTACTCTAGAGGACCTAAAATGGCATAAGGGACTTTGTAACATTTCCAAAATGTAGTCCATTTAGTAATGTGTGAATATCCATGAATACCTTATTTTTTTTACATAAAATAATACTTACTGTGGTTGTTATTTGGTGCAGTGGTTAAGATGCTGCTTGGGATGTCCTTATCCTATGTCAGAGTACCCAGGTTCAAGTCCTGGCTGGATTTCTGATTCTAGATTCCTGTTAATGTGCACACTGGGAAACATTACGGTAATGGCTTAAGTGGCTGGATCCCTGCCACCCATGTGGGAGCCCTGGCTGGACTCCAAATATTGTAAGCATTTGTGGAGTGAACCAGTGGATGAGTGATCTTCCTCTCCCTCTCCCTCTCCCTCTCCCTCTCCCTCTCCCTCTCCCTCTCCCTCTCCCTCCCCCTCCCCCCTCCCCCCTCCCCCTCCCCTTCCCTTTCCAACAAATTAATACAAAACATTCTTAAAATTCCTTTAAGATCATTTGGAGACACAGTTTTATATGATTATATCATAATTGTACTTCCTTTTTACCCAGTGTTCATATTTATCGTTTGAAGTGATTATTTTTTTGAAAGGCAGTTAGACAGTGAGAGAGAGAGACAGAGAGAAAGGTCTTCCTTCTGTTGGTTCACCCCCCAAATGGCCGCTACAGCCAGTGCGCTGTGCCGATCCGAAGCCAGGAGTCAGGTGCTTCCTCTTGGTCTCCCATGCGGGTGCAGGGCCCAAAGACTTGGGCCATCCTCCACTGCCTTCCCAGGCCACAGCAGAGAGCTGGACTGGAAGAGGAGCAACCAGGACAGAACCGGCACCCCAACTGGGACTAGAACCCGGAATGCCGGCGCTGCAGGCAGAGGATTAGACTAGTGAGCCATGGCGCCGGCCGAAGTGATTATTTTTGATTAGATTTTTTTGCTTAGAGTTTTTAAAGAAGCTTGCCCTAGACAAGAAATGATTTCTAAAACATTTTTGTTAATTACTTTCAGTCCTCTCATCTGAAAAGTATCAAATGCTGAGATGCCAAAAGATACCTTTTAATTTCAGTTAATGTGTCTTCTTCCTCTTTTGTCTTCTAGAATATTATCTGATTTACTAGTCAAGGTTGCTTCTTACACCTCTCCTTTTCTTAAATTCTTTGGGAAATCTTGGTGATATTGGCTTCTGGGTGAGGTCATCTCTTGTATTCTGGAGTACAGTGTTCCTCTTCAGACACTTGCGAAGCAAATGCTCTTGATCTGCCAGAGATGTGGAGCAGCACAAAGACGCATTTGTGAGGCTCATTTTTAGGGTCCCTTACACTCAGTAGTGACACTTGCTTTTTTGCATTGCAGTGTATTGAAAGGTATTTTATGTCTTCCCATTATTTAATGAACCTCTAGCTCAGCTCTGCTCTCCTTTACAGGCAAGATGGATTCATTGTCATATCTTTGTCCCTTGAGTCTAAAGAACTTCTTGTAGGTTAGATTAGGGTACTAAGATTAGAATTAAGCAAGTCTTCAGCTCCTGTTAGGAAAGAGCATGTGATGGTTAACATTCTCAGAGCTCTACGTCCCAAACTTCCTTTTCTATATGTAAATCCAGATTTGAAATACACTCAATATATCCACAAAATTAGATTTCTCACTAATCCTACTTATGTACATTTTGTGCCCAAGTGAATTTCCTCAAGCTGGAGAGGCTCCCCAGATGAATTATATGTAGCATAACTTAAATCACTCCCAGATAGCAGAATTTATATTGTTTGTGAGAAATATTTTTCTTCAAAGCAGTTTTGTTTTGTTTGTGATTAAAAAAATACATTTGAACCTTACTATAATGCTATTTTGGGGCCCTTAATGGCTACCTCATCAACAAAATGACCTGATTTCACCAATTAAACCTCCTCAGATGAGATTCAGACAGGCTCACCTCATTCTGAGCACTTCAGTATTTGAAGGGACAACAAATGGTGCCAATTACTAGCTCAGC